CTCCCCTGGCTCCCCGTCTCACACCGCATTCACTTCAAACTCCTGGTCCTCACCTATAAAGCCTTCCACCATCTGGCCCCCCCATACCTCACTGACCTCCTCATCCTCTACCAACCACCCCGGTCCCTCAGATCCACCTCAGCCGGTTTGCTTTCAATCCCCAAGGCCAAACTCCGGAGCTTCGGGGACAGAGCCTTCTCTGTGGCAGCCCCGAAGCTCTGGAACTCCCTCCCCCAAGACCTCCGTGAGTCTGATTCCCTCACCCTGTTCCAGTCCCGTCTCAAAACCCACCTCTTCAACTCTGCTTATCCTTAAACCCACCCCTCCCCCCTCTGAACCAACATCCTCCTGACTGCTTTTCTGTTTTTGTTTTGTTTTTGTTTTTGTTTTTGTTTGTGTTTTTGTTCTTGTTTTGTTTGTCGACGTTACTCTTAATGTAAAGCGTCTTTGGGTCTAGAAAAGCGCTATATAAATCCCATTTATTATTAATGACATTATTCTGACCTGAGCTCCTCCAACAATGCAACATATATAATAAAAATAAATAAATTAAAAAAAAGTCTATATACATGTCAATAGAATATGGGTCATGAACAGAATATGAAATTAAATAATGTAAATTAAGACAAAACTGACCGAGAACCACCAAGCGGACACTGTCGTTCCCCTCTGCCCTGAAAAGCCAGAGTAGTGTATGCACAGGGCTTTTGGAATAATGTATGACTGGATAAGAGCATTTTAAGAGTGCCATTTAACATCATTGCAGCATCGCAGTGTGCCTGAGAAGTATAGGAGATGTATTTTAGGAAACACTTGACACAAATACATTTCACATTTCCTCCCTTTTCCCTGTCTCTTTATTTCTACTCTCTTGCTCTCTCGCACTCACTCCCGCCCACACACAAAGTAATTTGATACTCAGTTTAAAAACTGGCATTATTGCCTGTCGTGGCGGTGCTTTTCACAACCCGGGGTCAGAAAGAGTATGCTTGCTTGGATTGCATTGTCGAAAGATAAAAGCTTTGCAGCATGGGAGATCAATTGAAATGGTGCCGGCAGACAAAATAACTAATCAGTGTGAATGTTTAGTGACGGCTATCATTAGATATCGGCCTAATTATCGAGTCATTAGCAGCTCATATAGCTGTCAGCAATGGTGCTTCTCAAAATTCCAATAAAATGAAATCCAAACGACCCAGTTGGAGGTGGCTAAATTGATACAGCTAAAGAATTTACTGTTTGATTCAAATTGATCTGAAGCCATTTGAACAACTAACAAGGCAACGTATCCTAATCCCAAACTCATTAGTATTATAAGCCCTTTAATAAAAACATAATTTCTGGAGAACATTGTGAAAATCCAAGGTTATGCAACAGCTTTTAATGAGCAGTCATTAACATACTGTTGCATAAAAGAAAAACATTAGGGCAAATAATTCTACTTCTAAAAATGGGATGTGGGTGAGAGAATAAATGCTTATTGTTTTAGATGTTTCAGCAAATGTTCATTTTTTGTTTATTCTTTATTTATTTGGGGTCACATAATACAAGTATAGTTTTTCAAATCATATATTTTTAGAGACCCGAAACTGACAAATGAAATAGCAAACAAAATTAGTCAAAATAAAATAAAAACGAAAAAGTACACAGGGGTTGTTTGAAATAGCAAAAAGTAAATGTTCATTTTTATCACAAAGAATATATGCAATCAGGGGCGCCGCCAGGGATTTTGGGCCCCATGAAAAGATATCACATTGGTTACTTAAACATTTTTTTCTTAATGTTCTAAAATAGTTTGGGCCCCTGTCAGTCACGGGCCCTTAGAATCGTCCTAACTTTTCACCCCCTTACGGCGCCCCTGTATGCAATTGAGGAGGTGTGTGGCGCAGTGGGTTGTGCGTTGGTGTTCGGATCAGGGGGTTCAAACCCCACTGCAGTCAGCATGTTGTTGTGTCCCTGAGACACTTCACCCCAAATGACTCCTGTGGGGATTGTCCACAGTATTGAGTATGTAAGTCGCTTTGTATAAAAGCGTCTAACAAGTGACATGTAATTGACGTAGATTATATCAGTGGAGACTTACTTGAGAACGCAACCTTAAACATTTTTGTAAATACATTTCCAACCATTTAAATTGGATATGTGGTTACAGCTGTATTTATACATATAAATTACGCATATATTCACCATTGGATAGGTGGTTACAGTGCGGAGTAAAGTCAAGGTCAAGGAACAGCCATTTTGTAGTGTTCTTTGCCTGATTGATTAAAGCTATTTGTCAACCAAAGAAAACCAGCTCAACATATGACTTGAAGTCAACAAAAACACCCACCTGACTCAAAAGAACAGTGGCCACTGACCCATACATGACCTTGGCCTGTATATGAAGAATCACTGACTGGAAGATATAATTGGTTTGTACTGTAGGCCTAGATGAATCGATCGGTAAGACTCATCTAGCACTTTGCAATAGATAATAGTGACACATAGGAGCATCTATCCCCGTTCCTCCACATTATGGATTTGCAGCTGAAGTAAATGATCGTGTGTATTGAGAGCTTTATGCTCATTTTATTCTAATGGATGGCGAGAAACGAGACCATGAACACATGAAGTTCCTCCATCATCATTGTTATAACGGCATTTTTTAATCTTAAGACACAGTTTTAGCTTGCCCAATTTCATATAGTGGAAACGCTGCAGCAGATGTTTAGGGTTCACAGAATAGGTGATATGGATTTGAGGTAACAACTATAGTTATCAACGATGTAAGGGACTGAGGTTGTAGTACTACTTTCCACCTCTGTAGTATTTCTTCTATAGCTTGAACCTAGTCGCACCCTCCTTATACTTCATGCACATGAAGGTTAACAAGCTGATTTGCTGGTGGATTGTCCTAGGGTACTAACTTCAACCCTTTAATGACCGATTGTGTCTATTTAGGGTGAACTTTTAGACAGTAACTCACGTCTGCTTCAGGGCTTTCAGTTGTTTTCATGACTCCAGGTTTCCTTCACTCTTGACTTTCCTATGCGTTCCTTCTGACGTCCAATGGAGGGCAGTTCTTGTCATGTAATCCTATTTTCTTTGCATGATGTTTCCAATCAGTCTTCACAAAAACATGTTGTCAATGGTCTTTTGATTCGACTTAGTAGGAGATGCCAGAAGATGGAAAGTATCCTGGAGTATGTCATACAATTGTATAGATGTTTGGGGTCTTAAAGACTGAGTAACTGGATTTTAGGAGAATAACTTCTGGTGTGAAAGGCCATACAGACCGGGAGCAAGGTCAATTGAGAGTATGATAACCGATTCGTATCATTTGCCAACACAAACTAATGGATTAAGTGTTAAATAAAAGGGATAGACAAAGTTAAGGGTCAGTGCAGAGTAGCCGTATATCCATCCATCCATCTTCTCCCGCTTATCCGTGGTCGGGTCTCGGAGGTATCAGTTCCAGCAGAGAGCCCCAAACGTTCCTATCCCTGGCCACATCAACCAGCTCTGACTGGGGGGTCCCAAGGCGCTCCCAGGCCAGCGAAGAGATATAATCCCTCCACCTGGTCCTAAGTCTACCCCTCGGTCTNAATGTCCCCTGAAGTGATGTATACATGGTGTGTGTGTTGTGTGTGTTATGTGTGTGTGTTGTGTGTGTGTTGTTGTGTTTGTGTGTTGTGTGTGTGTTGTGTGTGTGTGTGTGTGTGTGTGTGTGTGTGTGTGTGTGTGTGTGTGTGTGTGTGTGTGTGTGTGTGTCCTAGCATTACTATACTTGTGGGGACATACATATGTTTACACAGTCACGTGTGGGGACTCGCCTCCCTTATGGGGACAACATGGAGGTCCCCATGAGATTAAGGGTTAGGCATGTGTTGGTTAGGGTAAGGATAAGTCTCCAGGAAAATGCATGTAAGTCAATGTAATAGATGTATACATGGTGTGTGTGCGTGTGCGTGTGCGTGTGCGTGTATGTGTATGTGTATGTGTGTGTGTGTGTGTGTGTGTGCCCACACTCACCTTCCTCATATAGTAAGTGGTTCCCAGGCTCACAGAACTCCTTCCTCTCGTACTTTGCTCTGATCCACTGCTCCCTGAGAGTCCTGAGCACACNGAGGTCCCCATGAGATTAAGGGTTAGGCATGTGTTGGTTAGGGTAAGGATAAGTCTCCAGGAAAATGCATGTAAGTCAATGTAATGTCCCCTGAAGTGATGTATACATGGTGTGTGTGTGTGTGTGTGTGTGTGTGTGTGTGTGTGTGTGTGTGTGTGTGTGTGTGTGTGCCCACACTCACCTTCCTCATATAGTAAGTGGTTCCCAGGCAAACAGAACTCCTTCCTCTCGTACTTTGCTCTGATCCACTGCTCCCTGAGAGTCCTGAGCACACAAACAGATGAAATGTCAACAGAGCTAGCAGACCAGAAGACGTCGTGTGTGCTTTGTGGTAGATTAGACAGGCAGACACATTAGAGCAGACATTCAGTACAAATATAAAGATTGTTATATAATTTAAATGTGTATGTAATAAGTATGAATTCTAATTTAAGAAACACTGGTTATTTGTGTTCACTTTTTGGCTTTTTGTTGGTTATCAAGTAGCTAGCATTGTCAGCTAGCCCAGTTCATAACAAGAGCAAACATTACTAATACTTGGGGATTTTTATTATAATACTTTTAAATCATACAATTCAAAAAAGTAAACGTAACATTGGAACTGTATGCCAGAAAAAAGCCTGAACATGTAGATACTGTTTTATGATGTTAGCTAATAGCTGTTCAACTGGCTAGCTAGCAAAGCTAACAAAACAAAATAGCCAAGTTATTTTAAAGAGCCATAGTATAAAAGTTTTATTGGACATACCAACAGCTCAAAAATGTTAGTATAAATCTCACATAAAAACTATTTTTTTTGTTTCTCTTACTCAACGAACACTTGACTACTTTACACTGAAGTTAACTTATTTATACCATAATTTAAATTGTGGAGGAACTATAAATTCATGTCATGGTTAACATGGTACCTTAAATAACAGCAAGCTTAGCTCAGGATCAAGCAATCTTATTGTTTGTCTAAGAACTGGTGCTGCAACAAATACATTTGAACATGTATTGATGTGTCTTGATTGGTGGTTTGGTTTATAAACTGTCAATTAAATAGTGAAAAATGTCAAAGGTGATGTCATCAAATCTCCATGTTAGGCTTTTGGACTTACAAAAATATTCACTGTCTTAATTTAAAGCAATGAAATCAAGAAATCTCCAAATTTGAGAGACGGAAAATTGCATTTATTATGTCATTTTTGCATGAAAGGTTTATTTCATCAATAGTCAAAATAGCATGAAAAATGTCCTCTCAATTATCTGAATTAGTAGACTGATGATTGCAGCTTCATCTACCATTTGTTTGTGTTTCATCATGTGTGGGTTTAAGTTAAATCCAGCCGTTTCAGCTTTTTTTATACGTTGATCCCAGAAGAAACACGACCTGGGAGGCTAAGGGTTTTATTCTCACCCACCTTCCTCTGCAAGTCATTATTACTAAAGATCAAAGAAGGTGTGTTCAAATGTGTGTGTGATAAAGGCATGGAGGTCTGAGNGCTGCTGTAAACCCTATTCATCCATTCATCACTTCACGACTCGACTACTGCAATAGCATCCTCTATGGCATACCATCCAACCTCCTCAATAAACTCCAACATATCCAGAACTCTGCTGCCCGCCTCCTCACCCACACCCGCTCCCGAGACCACATCACTCCCTTCCTCCAGAACCTCCACTGGCTCCCCGTCCGTCAAAGAATCCACTTCAAAGTCCTCCTCATTACTCACAAAGCCCTCAACAATCAGGCCCCCCCCTACCTCACAGACCTGCTGCACCACCACACCCCTTCCCGCTGCCTCCGCTCATCAGAAGCCAACCTCCTATCCATCCCCACCCGCACCAATCACCGGACCTGGGGGGACAGAGCCTTCTCCGTCGCTGCCCCCTCCCTCTGGAACTCACTCCCCCAACCCATCAGAGACTGCACCGACCTCACCACCTTCAACAAACTCACAAAAACTCACCTCTTCAATCTGGCTTTTATTGTGTGATTGTTTTTGTCTTATTTGACTTTAACTATATATTTATTTGTTGTTCCTTTCTTCTCTTTTCTTTTCTCTTCTCTATTATCTGTAAAGCATCTTTGAGCACCTGTAAAAGCGCTAACAAATTAAATCTATTATTATTATTATTTATTTGTGTTTCATCATGTGTGGGTTGAAGTTAAATCCAGCAGTTTCAGATATTTTTCTACGCTGATCCCAGAAGAAACACGACCTGGGAGGCTAAGGGTTTTATTCTCACCCACCTTCCTCTGCAAGTCATTATTACTAAAGATCAAAGAAGGTGTGTTCAAATGTGTGTGTGATAAAGGCATGGAGGTCTGAGCTGTACACACACACACACACACACACACACACACACACACACACACACACACACACACACACACACACACACACACACACACACACACACACACACACACACACCATTTTCAATTGAAGCCAAGATGTTGTCAACCAGTGGTTTGAACTCAGGTATGTCTTTGTCTTCTACTGGATAAGGTTTTAATCTTCTCCAAAATTCTCCCCGCCTCCCATGAATACAATTCCAAACATTCCTGTCTGGGATCTGCCCGCTGCAGCAGACGATGAAACACAAAGTGTGTGTGCAGGTAGACAGGAGAATAAATCAGAAAAGGTTTCTAAAAAAAGGAGCTGGTTAGCTTTGACTTCATTCTCACAATATCTAATTAAACACCTCTTCAGTTCAAATAACTTCACATAAGTGGTCTTCTCCCTCATTAGCAGCAAAGTGTTTTCTAGGAGACCTTGCAAATTGAAAGGGCTTTAAAATGCAACACAACCCGAGGAAGTTCCTACTTTTGTGTTAGAAAATACAGGTAACAATGACCCGTTTGTTATAGCTATATATCTGTTGATTGTGGATGCTACAGCAGCTATTTGTGATGATGTGGCACACGCACAATAACGTCTCTAAGGTTACGTCCAAACTGCATGCCTTATTGCTCTATTCAGGTTTATTGGCCTTATCTCATTCTTTCTGTAACGGTCACATTATTCATTAAATGTTTTGTCATCTTGCCTTTTACTTAATTATCTAAATACTTATCACCGTAATAAACCGTATTTAATTGCATCTTAATGTCCAATATTTCATTTCATATGTCTCTTTAAGTGTAGATGGACTTCTTGCACTATGTTGTATTTGTATTTTATTATATATGTTGCATTGTTGGAGGTGCTCAGGTCTGAAGAATTTCATTGCCATTTCTACACTGTAGCTTATGTGCATATGATGAGAACACCTTTGAATTTAAATGTGACCAGTATCAGATTCCTGGCTGACCCAAATGCACTTTAAAAAAAGGAATATGCACCACACTGTCGTAGCAAAGTAAACCAAAACTCACTGGACAGCTCACACCAATCTGATATGCTAAAGAACAATGCTAATCAGATTTAGCCTACTTTTGCCCTGCAGTCTAAGCGTAGCAATCATGCCCTCAATATGTCAACAAATAATGAAATAATATATTTTGAATACGGTTTTCCATTGTGTTTAAACATGTGTATTGGCATAAAAAAGTGTAATTCCCCTTGTCCTCCAGCATGTTGAAAACACTGACATCAGTTCACACATCAAATGCCAACAGGCTGACACACTGAGACATCTAAAGGCCCCTACACACCGATCTGACATCAAAGAACACGTCCCGACGGACACTGGAAGACACCGCAAAGACTTCAGCGGACGGCCAAGAAGCACGTACGAACTGCGCATGCGTGAGTGGCAATAACTCTCCTCACCAGCAGGCGGCGGTAGTGTGTATTC